GGTAGAGGATGGGGGCGGGCTAGAGGGGTCAATGGGGAGGGGGGCATATGTAATACTTTCAACAATAAAGATTTTGAAAAAATAAAAGAAAACATAAAATAATTTTCTGTTTTATGTTGTCTTTGTTTTGAGAGTGAGAGAGAGAGAGAAACATCAATATGTCGTTCCACTTATTTATATTCATTGGTTGATTCTTGTATGTGCCCTGACCTGGGATCGAACCCACAACCTTGGAGTATCAGTATGATGCGCTAATCAACTGAGCTACCCGGCCAGGGCAAAATAGGCTCATTTTCTTTCTGTCTAGCATTGGGCACCAACCTGATGCCGACAACCTCCTACTACATGCATCTGGAGCCTTCCCTCCCGGGCCTCACCCAGCCTTCACACGGACTCTGCATGGCAGGTGCTTATTACCACCCCCATTTTACAGATGAAAACACTGAGGCCCAGAGAAGGGGATGTATTTGCCCAGGTCACGTGGTGAGGGTGTGTCTGTCCCTATAGCCAAGAGATGTTAGAGAAGAAAGAAATAATCGTACACAGCTCTGATCTATGACCACATTCATTGCCAGGCACTGTGTTAACACCTTTCCTTGTATCATCTCCTTGAGTTAACGTCTTGCCTGAAGCATGGATTGTGGGCCCATTTTACAGAGCAGGAAACTGAGGCCAGAACTGGTGACTGGCCCATGAAGTCACATGGGGTGGAGCCAGGGTTTGAACCTGGTTCAGCACAGGAGGCCAACGAATGTTCTGCCTTCCCCTCTCTTGCCAGGAGCTGGGAAGGCAGGCAGGAGGGAGGCCAGCGGGGGCGGGCGTAGCCTCTGATGGTCACTGCCATCTAGGTCCCTCTCTCTGAAGTCCCCGCCAAGGGGCGTGGGAGGCCGGGGGAGGGCTGTGTGCGGTGCAGCCTCCCCTCCCCCAGCCCGGATCGCTGAGCACAGAGAGACAGAGCCCCCAGAAATGCTGCTCCCTGGACTCAGGCCCCGGGCCCTGGCCGCCCTCGGCCTCTGCGCTGTGGTCCTGGCCTGTGTTGTGGGTGAGAAGTTGTGGGTGGGGGGCTGTGGGGACCCGAGTGTGACTGTGACGGGCAGTGCAGTTTGTAGACATGCGTGCTCTTGGCGAGTATGTGTCAGCGGCAGTTGTGTGTGAAGTGTGTATGTGGGGTTGGAACACATGCCCGTGGTCATACATGTGTGTGTAAGCATGAGTGTGCAGTCCTGGTGAAGGTGTGTGTCTCTGTGAACATGCGTGTGTATGCCTACGCGCACACGTGTGCCTTTGTGGGGTCTTTATGCAAAAGCTTTGAGTGTGTCCACGTGTGAGGGCGTGTGTGAGCCCCGGAGCGAGTCCACCTGGGTGTGCTCGTGCATGTACAGTTTTAACATGTATACAGCGCCTCAGTGTGCAAGGCACCGGTGCGAGTGCCTGACACGAGTTCATTCTGAATCCCACGGTAGCCCGTGAGGTAGGTCCTGTCATCAGCCCGTGCCACAGAAAGGGAAACTGAGTCTGGAAGAGGGTCAGTCATTGGCCGAGGGCACACCGCCCGTCACATGGGTGCCTCTGTACCTGCATGTACATGTGCAGCTGTGTGGTGGCTGTTCTGTGGGTGAGGCTTTGCCGGGTGCAAGGGAGGGCAGCGCCCACCAGGACAGCACAGCCTTGCCGGCTCCATCCCCGGGGGCACCGGCCTCCTGTGCCCTGGGGGGAGTTCGGTGTGGGGGTCACGGGAGAACGGAGGGGCAGCAAGATCCGTGGTGAAGGAGGCGCCAGGACAGACACCGGGGTCAGAGAGGTGGGGGGACGGGCGAAGGAGAGAACCACAGGCAGACAGAGGGGTGACAGGAGGGGCCACGGGCACAGAGGGGGAAGGGAGATGACCAATGGCTGACGGAGGGTAACTGGCGAGAGAGAGGGACATATAAGGGGGTGAAGGCCAGCGGGCCTGT